TGCTCTAATTCTCCTCCCCTCTCAGGCTTGTGGCGCCAAACAGCTGATTGGCGCCACAAGCCTGGGAGGCGGGAGAAGTGGAGCAGCAACGGCGTGCTCGGGGAGGGGGCGTAGAAGAGGTGAGCTGGGGTGGGGAGCCCTGCGGCAGCTCCCCCCCACACCCTGAGGCACCCCCGCGGCGGCTCCCCATCCCCCTGGCCCGGGGAGCTGTGCGGCACCTCCCCACCCCAGCTCACCTCTGCTCCGCCTTCTCCCCAAGCATGCCGCCCCTGCTCTAATTCTCCTCCCAGGCTTGCGGTGCCAAACAGCTGATTGGCGCTGCAAGCCTGGGAGGCGGGAGAAGTGGAGTGACGACCGCGCGCTTGGGGAGGAATGCTGTAAAAAAAAATAAAAAAAAAATTGGGGGCACTGCTTTTTGGCGCCCCCAAATCTTGGCGCCCTAGGCAACCGCCTAGTTCGCCTTAATGGTAGCACCGGCCCTGCTCTCACCCCATGGAGCTGGGGTAGGGTTGCCATCTGTCCAGTTTTTCTAGGAACTTCCCTTTTTTGAGGTAGCTGTCCCAGGAAATCTGTAAAGGTGCTCAGTACACACTGCCGGCTGTCCAATTTTATAGGCCCAGGATCATCCTGAATGCCTGAGTTTTTATATCGCAGAGATGACAACCCTAGGTTGGGGTCCCTGTACAGAGGGGTTGGGTAACAACTCTAAACTGCCAAACCAGCACAACCTTCTACTTGGGTGACTGAGAGGGAGTGAAGCTCATACACAAAGCCCTCTGCTGAGAGGTTGAAGGCTCTCTCCTCAGGGAGAAAAGGGGTTTAAAAAGCCAGCTCCTAAGTGACCAAAGGAGCTAGCAAAGAGGAGCGGCGAACAGGAGTTTTGCGAGGGAGTTGAGAGCGGCATTCCTTCGAGGTCCAGCTCTCAAGCAGAGAAAGTCCCACAACAAAATAAGACAGCACAAGACAAAGTAAGCTACCAAGGTAAGGAGAGTTTGGCTTCAGTGAGAGTTCAGCAGCAGGGGGAGGAGGCCAAGGGACGATAACCTATTAGAAGAATGTCAGAAAACCCCCTAGTAAAGAAAGGGAGAATGAGGAGGAGAGAACCCAATACATCTAACAAACATACTCTAAACTTACGCCAATAAACCAGCCCCTCCCCACCAATCAAAAATAACCAACTTTAAAAAAAAGATGCAAGAGTAAAAATAGTGCAGACAGAAATTCAGTTGCAGAGTGGGAACTATCCAGTTTATTACACTGAATGCAGCATGTGAGACTACCTGCCTCAGGGGCAGGTGGTATGTGTGTGCATACGGTGCAAGCAGCTCATGGCCCTCAGAGAGAGTTTGGGCTCTTGAGGGCAGAGTAGCTGACATGCAGGAGCTAAGGGAGACAGAGAGATATGCAGAGGAGACTTTCAGGGACACAACAGAGCAGTTTCACCCTCAGTCTGACAACCTCTCTTCAGAAGGATGAAAGTCTCGAGGAAAGAGAACATCAAGCTGGAGCAGAGAAAAAAACTATTCAATATTTGGGACCCTCCTTCCAGATGATGTCATGGTTTCCTCTTGTACTGAGGAGATCCCCTCCAGGGGGAGAGAACCCCAGTTACTAGGAACACAGCAAGGTAATAGTAACAGAGGATTTGATTAGCAGCAGTGTTGATAGTTGGGTTTGTGATGACCTGGAGAACCACACAATTGCCTGCTGGGTGCAAAGGTTGTGGTTCTCACAAGACATCTGAACAGACTTATGTGCAGTGTTGGGGAGGAACCAGTGGTTGTGGTGCATGTGGGTACCAATGATATAGGCAAAGGTAGGAGAGAGGTTATGGACGCCAAATTTAGGCTGCCAATTAAGACACTAAAGTCCAGGACCTCCATGGTAGCATTCTCTGAAAAGCTTCCAGTTCCGTGCACCAGGCCAGGAAGACTGGCAGAACTGCAGGGTCTCAATGCGTGGATAAGCCGATGGCATAAAGAAGATGGTTTTAGGTTTGTTGGAAACTGGGGAACCTTTTAGAAAAGAAAGAAAACCAAAATGAAATCAGATTGCTGGCATGTGCAATTAGAAAGGTTGTAGAGGATTTTTTAAACTAAGGGACAGGGGAAATTCAGCCAGGCAGAGATGTCCCTTAGGGATGAGTTTATTAAAGGGAGAACTGTATATCCTAGTAAAGATGATAGGAAAGAAGTTGTTAATGTACAGGTAGGAGCTAGTGAGTAGTAAAAGAGCTTATATCAAAATGCTAGAAGTCTACATACTACGATGGGTGAACTAAAATGCCTGGCATTAAATAAGGATATTGATATAATAGGAATCACAGAAACCTGGTGAAATGAGGATAATCAGCGGGACACGGTAATACAAGGGTACAAAATACACAGGAATGACAGAGTAGGTTGCGCTGGTGGGGGTGTGATACTAGATGTGAAATAAAGCATAGAATCAAATAAAGTAGAATCAAACTGTACCACAGAATCTCTATGGAAAGAAATTCCATGCTTGAAGAATAAGAATACAGCAGTAGAAATATTTACCAACCGCCTGACCAGTATGGTGACGGTGCTTATGAAATCACTCAGTGATATTAGACAGGCTACAAAGGCAAAAAAAAAAAAATAATCATAGTGGATTTCAACTATTCTCATATTGACCTCAGAAAGGGCTGCAGGAACAAAATTTCTAGACACTATAAATGACTGCTTCTTGGAGCAGCTTGTCCCGGAACCCACAAGGGAAGAGGCAATTCTTAATTTAGTCCTAAGTGAAGCACAGGATCTGGTCCAAGAGGTGAATACAGCTGATTGCTCGGTAATAGCGACCATAATGTAATTAAATTTAACATCCTTGTGGGGGAAAAATGCCAAATAAACTCACCACAGTAGCATTTAACTTCAAAAAAGGGAACTACACAAAAATGAGGAAGCTAGTTAAATGGAAATTAAAAGGAACAGTAGCAAGGGTGAAATGCCTGCAAACTGCATAGAAACTATTTTAAAACACCATAATAAAGGCTCAAACTAAAAGTATACCCCAAATTAAAAAAAACAGTAATAGGACCAAAAAATGCTACTATGGCTACGTGATGGGGCGCTCATCCCACAGCAGCCATTGAAG